CCCCGCCTCGCGCCGCCGCGCCGCCCGCCGCCGCGCCCCGCGCCGCCGCCGCCGAGCTGCCCGCCGCAGCCGCGCCCCTGGCGTAGAGAAGGACTAAGTCGCCTGGCGAGATGCGTCGCGCGGCCATCGCAGCGGCGGAGAGGCCCAGTGCGAGGGGCGGCCACCCGCGCGGCGCCTGCTCCAGACGCGCGACGAAAGAACCGCCGCCGCTGTCGCCGCCGTCGCCGCCGCCGCCGCCGCCGCCCGCAGCAGCAGCAGCAGCAACCGGAGGAGCGATGTGCAGTTCGGAGCCGCTCGCCAGCCTCGCGGCCGCCACCGGCCCGTCGGCGGCGTGGAGCTCGGAGACGCGGAGCCAGGCGCAAGCCGCGCCATCGAGCCAGAGGGGCACGCGCGTGCCAGCCGTCAGCACGTTCAGCTGCGTGAGCGCCGTCTCCTCGAGCCGCGCCGCGCCGCCGCTCACAAGCGCCCAGTCCTCTGGCGACTCGGGCGCGAGCGTTGCGCGGACGGCCAGAGGCAGGCTGCTCGCGTGAGAGACGTGCACCGCGCGCGCCGAGCTCAAACCCAGCGCTTCAGCAAGGGCGGACGGCAGCTCCAGGGCGTCGCCAGCCGCCACGCCACCGCCCCAGCCCACGACTGCCTCACGTCGCTCGCCGCCGCTCGTCCAGCAAAGGCGTAGCGCCACGGGCTCGCCCGCGCCGATCCGCGGAAGCTGGCCGAGCAGACGACGCGGCACGCTCGCGAAGCTGTGCTGACTGGGCACGAACGCGATTTTGGACTCCATCTGTGCGGGCTGAGGGCCAAAAGTAAAACGCTCTGCGCCGCTCTCGGCTCTCAGAGAGGCGTTATATCTCAGTAACCCCGCTCGCAGGTACTAGAGCAGCGTTCGTCAAGCTCAAACCCCACTCTGCACAACACAGAGCAGCGTTTGCCTAACAAGACTCCGCTCTGCAACCTTCAGAGCGGACTCTTGCTCAGAAAAACACCGACCGAGCACGTTCGAGCGGAGTCAAGTCAGTGCAACACCGCTCAACATAGCGGGAGCGGTCAATTTCCGCGGAGAGGCTGCTTTCGCCTCCCTCAGTCGCGCTCTCCTCCGCTCCTCCTCTTCAGAGCGGGACTTTGCTGAGTGAACACCGCTCTAGCTGGTCAGAGCAGCGATTGCTTTAAGCTGACACCGCTCTTAATGGCGTGAGCGGCGTATCACTAAACGCGACGCCGCTCTGACTACTCGGAGCAGTGACGACCCACCCACACGCTGCTCAACCCCAGGGGCGGGGCTCGCCACGCCGCGCCGCGCGCCACGAGCGATCGTGGATCCGCCGTCGGCGTCAGGTGGCATCGCCGTCCCGGCGTCCCAGAGCAGCGTCTATTCAGGGCGACGCCGCTCACGCCATATAGAGCGGTGTCAGCTTAAAGCAATCGCTGCTCTGACCAGCTAGAGCGGTGTTCACTCAGCAAAGTCCCGCTCTGAAGAGGAGGAGCGGAGGAGAGCGCGACTGAGGGAGGCGAAAGCAGCCTCTCCGCGGAAATTGACCGCTCCCGCTATGTTGAGCGGTGTTGCACTGTCTTGACTCCGCTCGAACGTGCTCGGTCGGTGTTTAACTGAGCAAGAGTCCGCTCTGAAGGTTGCAGAGCGGAGTCTTGTTAGGCAAACGCTGCTCTGTGTTGTGTAGAGTGGGGTTTGAGCTTGACGAATGCTGCTCTAGTACCTGCGAGCGGGGTTACTGAGATATAACGCCTCTCTGAGAGCCGAGAGCGGCGTTGCGCGTTTTACTTTTGGCCCTCAGCCATCTGTGCGGTCGCACGACACGATTCACACAGGCGAGGCGCGGGAGACGGAATTTTACAACTTCTCGAGGTTCTCGAGGTGGATATCCTTCTTCCGCGTTGGGTAGCGAGGATTGGTGTGACGCGATCCACGCAGGCGTGTTTTCTGGCGGCCGACCGTCAGTGCACGGAGTTGCCCCTTCTCCGACTGCCCCGGCTAGTTCACGAGTTTCGCGGGAGTGACCCCTGCGTCCCCCGAGACCTAGCGCGGGTGGGTTGGAGGGGGCTCGCCCCGCTCCTCCCCATCGGGCCGCATGAGCGGCCACGCCTCGCAGATTCGTTTCTCGCGCCTGGGTCAGGCGCGCGGGGCATCCCCCGAGTCGCTCGACCAGCGATCCGAAGAGTGGCCGCTATGCGAAGGAAAGAGTGGGGCCCTCGGGGTACGCCTTGTCCGGCCCCCTCCGAGGGGGGAAGGGAATTGTGGGGTCCCCACGGGCGCCTCTCTTCGGCCCTCCCGAGGGAGTGCACGTTTATGAAATTCTTTTGCACACGAGGGAGGGGCGCTAACCGAAGAAAAAGAAATCGGGAGTTCGGAGCGGTACTATCAACCTGCACAAGACAGCCAGGAAACATTTTCTGTTCTACGTACATCTAAAAACGAAATCGGACTCTCTTCTCCTCGTCGTCGGTTTGCGCGTGATGCCGATGGAAGATGGGAAAGGCTAGGGAAGATAGTGCCCAACAACGCTTCTACTTGCGCTCCTTAGTGACACGGCTCATCAATCTGCACTCGAATGTGATGACCTCTGAGTGATGTCGCACTCCGTCGAGCCTCTCCGTGAGGACCTCTGCGAGGCGGCGTGAGGACCTCTTCTCGCCGGTGCGTGAGGACCTCTGGGCGATGATACGCTCCCGGAGCGCCACAGGGGCAGTTTCAAAATCGCCGCCCGCTCTGGCCAGTACGCAATGGCAAGCCATTCTAGTGCAGAATTGATGAGTCAAAAGTTGCGCAAAGCCCCTCCTCAGTATACCGAAGAGGTCCTCAGCTCCTCACGCCGCCTCCCCTGGAGGTCCTCACCACTCAGTGCAGCTCAGTGCTCCTGAGTTCGCGTGCTGCGCCATTCTTGAAGTGCAGATTGATGAGCCGCCACTAAGGAGCGCACGCAAAGCGTTGATGGGCTCGCCCTCGCAGAGCGCAATCCACAATAAATCGGCCGCCCCGGCGTGTCACGCACATCCACAAACAGCCCCGAAGGTTCGTTAGATGAACATGTCTCTCGAGTCAGATGCGTAGTACTGAATGGAGGTTTTTGAGGGGTGTGCGTGATGTGCAGAACGAATTCTGTACAAGAAGTTCGTGCAGGTGTGCGTGGTGTGTACTCGCCTAACCCAAAGCACGATTCTCAAGTTGGAGGGACGGGTGCTCCTCTTGAGGGCGACCTAGAGGCGGTGCGGCGCGGCCCGGCCCGCGGCGCTGGCGGGGGGGGGCGGGGGGTCCCACAGCAAGCGCCGACTGGAGGCGCGGCGGGGGCGACGGGGGGGGGAGAGGGGGAGGGAGTGGGAGGACGAGGGGGATGGTCTTTTCGGCGAGCACCACGGTGCTCGCGGATTCGACCATCCGCCTGACTACCATTCCGACGACGCCTTCTGTGAGGAGGACGGCATCTGTGAGGGCGACGGCTTCTTCTAAGCCGTCGCCTTTGCAGTGCCAGTCCCGTACCCGGTGTCGTGCGATCCCGCGAAACCCGTGAACTAGCCGGGGCAGTCGGAGAAGGGGCAACTCCGTGCACTGACGGTCGGCCGTCAGAAAACACGCCTCCGTGGCTCGGGTTACACCAATCCTCGCTACCCAACGCGGCCAAAGGATATCCACCTCGAGAACCTCGGGGGAGAATTTTTCTTTCTTTGCAATCGCGCATTTTTCTTTCTTTGCCTTGGCTATTACCCGCAATGGATGCCCGGCCGCGCGGGCGGAAGCGGACATGCCCGGAGGACCACGGCTATCACCCGTACGGCGAGGTTGACGCCTCCCAGCGGCGCTGGTACTACAATGCTGAGTTTAATCACCGAGTGCGACTGCGGGAGTTTGGGCCGGCGCCACTCTCCTCACAGCAGAACAAAGCGCGACTGCGACCAATCCACAAGTACCTCAGGGAGTACATGCAACGCCTGCAAAGCCTGCAGGCTGAGCTGTTCCCGGTCGCCGTCGCACGCGACGTCGACACGCTCGCTGCCTCGTTCGACGCGCTGCAGCCTCCGCCCGCAGTCCCACCACTGCTGCCTCGATCGGCGCCACAAGTTGTGCTGCATTGCCCGCAGCTGGCGGCCTGCTGCGCCGAGCTCTTCTCCGCCGGGGTGCCTGTCGGCCCTTGCCCGCCAGTCCCGTCTCCGCCACAGCCTCCTCCTCCGCCGCCACCGCAGCTGGCCGCACCAGCACTGCCGCCACTGCCGCTGTCGGCTCCGATCGCAGTGCAGGAGAGTGAGAGCGAGGAGGAGGTGGAGGCAGAGGTGGAGGCACCAGGTAAGGAAGGCGGACGCGTCAAGGTGGAGATGGGCGCAGGGGATACGAGCGATGTCGAGGAAGTGGCGCCACCGCCCCCTCCGCCTCGCACCGCCTTGGCGGCCCGCGACGGAGAACAAGAGGTACAAGCAACGGCGTCGACGGGCGGGCTGCTAAACTTGCCGCATGCACGCGCGCTCTGTCCCTCGGCGCCGTTCAGGGCACCGCAGGGTGCCTTCGCCAAACGGCCGCTCCATGGCAACGCCGAGGCGTGCCCCCGCTGCTACTGCTACATCTGCGACGCGCCAGCCAGAGAGTGCACGCAGTGGCAGAGCGACTACCGAAATGCCCCCAGCCACTGCAACGCGCACGATAGGCTCACGAAATGGCGGAAGCTGCGGGATGGCGCGAAAAGGAAGCGGCAGTGCGCGGTGGCGGTATGAAACCCTCGCGACTCCATGGCATTAAACGTGCAAGGCCCAGTGCGCGTGGGCCTGTCGTGCGAGAGAGCCGTTTTAAAACCAATTCTAATTCTTTTTCTGCGAGGGAGTTTCTTGTAAAATTCTTTTTCTGCGCACAACACTGGGCACAGGAGATGTCAAGGGGTTGTCTGCCCCCTCACCACGCAGCGGCGGGGAGCATGGTCGGAAGGGCGCCTTTGTCGCCTTTGGCAACACCGAGGCGTTCTACCGGAACATGGTCGAGGGGCATGGGCCCTACCGCGCGGAGGGCGAGGGAGGCGAGGGGGGGGAGGGGGATGGAGGGGAGTGCGAGGGGTATGGGGGCGAGGGAATGGAGGGGGAGAGGAAGAGCAAGGGCGAGAGGGGGCAGGGGACTGGTCTGTCCGTTGACTTCTCCGCCGCGCGCTACGCGTTCGTTCGCAGTAATCTGGCTTAGTTCAGAGAGGTCGGGTCCAGTCTCTATGCGTATCACAGCGCGGCGCTGGCCTGCGCATGTCGGGCATGTAGTCGAATCAATCAATCATCCCGACATTTGATGTTAGTGGCAAAACCGCGGAACCGAAAATGGCGTTTAATTTTGCGCACCTGCTGTCCGCCGCCTGCGGCGGCGCTGCGCGCCGCCTACGCGCGCTGCGCGCGCGTTTTTTCTCTCTTTTTCTCTCTTTTTCACAGTGTAATTTTACCGAAAAAATGCCGTTTTTCGCACAGCGTCCGCTGAGAAGAGAGACTAGAGAGCTACGAGCCGGACGGTCTCAGCACATCAGCTCACAGCGACACAGGAGGTACAACAAGCAACAAGGGTCAGAGATGTGTGCAATGTGTGTCAGCCACGTCAAAACTCGCACACAAGTGGTCACACGAGCGACGAGCGACGACAGGGCACACGCCAATGGCCTCTCGAGGCGTAACTAAGCGATGGTTGAAGGAGGGAACAGGCGGCCAGCGAGCTCTACGACGTGTGTGTTAGCACTCCTGCGAGCCCCCGCTTCCGCGTGGGCGCCTTTGCCTGCGCAGAGAGCGGCGTCTCGGGGTACCCGAACCAGATCGCGCCCATGAAGTGCTCCCCCGCCTACGTCACAGCGTCACGCATGAAGAGACGCCGTTCACAGCATCGCGCCCATGCAGTGCCCGCCCGCCTCCGCGCCGACAGTAATGATGCCGCGCGGGCGGAGTGACACGCTGCTGGCTCCAGGTCCCGGCGGCGGCGATGATGAGGGAAGAGGCGGGGAGGTCTGGCTTCGCGAGCGCCAGCGAGACGGGCGTCACGGGCGTGCGGTAGGACCAGAAGGGCGCGCGCATGCCCATCCTCCGGAGCCCCACGGGGGTCGAGCGCAGCCCCACCCGCCCGAACATGCGTGTTTACCCTCGGCGGCACTACTCAAAGACTCTTCACATGTACCATGCCGCGGCGCCTCGCACAGGCGCGTGCTCGTACCCCGCACACACCTCCGGACAAGCCCCGCAAGACGACCCTGGACCGACTACTCCCACAAACCACCCTCCCGCTTCATGCTCAACGTGCAAGACCGTGCGCAAACCTCGAGCGGAGCCTGCGCACCGCTCAAAGACTCTGCAGTCTCACGGGCCGCTCACTGGCCGCCCTCGTCCGCCTCGGCCTCGTCGAACCGGGCGTTGATCGCGCCTTGGCAGCCTCGGAGGAGCTGGCCGGCGTTGTCGCCCTTCTTGCCGATCCCGTGGCGATAGTCAGACAGGAAGCGCCCTCGCTTGAGCGGGACCTTGTCGAAGCACTGGGGGCAGATCGCCTCCGTGTACTCGCCCGCCTCGCCGGTCTGGGCGCGCTTGCGCTGAGCGTCCCGGTCGGTCCGGCGGAAGGTCTGCTCGAGCGATACGACTCCGTGGCGGACCATGTCGGCGAAGACTGAGGCGAGCCGCGCGATGTCGAACTCGGTGCGCACGTCGATCTCGTGGGGCACGCGGTCGGCCACCGAGAGCGGGTCCCCCTCCTTGCGCGCGAGCGCTAGGTTGAGCGCCTCCGTGTGGGCGGAGAGGTCGTGGCCGACGTGGGTCGACGCCAGCACCACGTACCCCGTCGTGGGCGGGCTGAAGATCACCTATGGCGCGGAGGGGAGCGGAGAGCCAAGCGGGCTAAGGGGGGGGGGGGGGGTTGAAACGGGGTGGGCCGGGGTTGAAAGGGGGGGGAAAAACCCAGGTAAAAAAATAGGCGGTGCTCCCCGGGTTAAAACCGCTCCGGGTGGAAAAAGGGAAGGGGGGGGGGGGAACCGGCAGCGGGTTCTGGCTCCGGTCCATCTCGTAGACGTGGAGGGGCTTCCCGCGCAGGGAGCCCACGACGGCGGCGCCGTGCTTGATGCCGCGGCGGCCGTGCGCAGCGCGCTCGAGCAGCGGCGGGGGCGGGCCGTCGGAGTGCGCGACCAGGTGGGCGTCGAACCCATCGGCCGCAAGGACCAGCAGGCCGGAGAGGAGGTCATGCGAGCCCGAAAAGACGTCGCCCGGCATGCGCACGAAGAGCCACTTTTCGAAGACACCCTCCGCGACCTCGCCGGCGTCAAACTCGAGCGCCGCGATGCCGGCAACCTGGCCGAGCGAGCCCGACTCGGTCGGCTGGAAGCGCGTGTCGACGTGCCGGTTCGAGTTGCGCACGTTGACCACGAGGTCCGACGAGACGATGCCGTTCGACGCGAGGTGCGCCGTGGCGTAGCGCGGCGCGGCTCTGTCGAGTCTCGCGCCGTCCGAGAAGATGGACGTGTGTCGCCGTAGTGCTACATCGTATACGGCCATGTCGTAGACCGACATGTAGGCGCGCGAGAAGCCCGACTCTCCCTCGCGAGGCGCGGCGTAGACGGGCGAGCGGGCCTTTGCCATTGAGCCGCCGACGCGAACCTACCATTCGACGCCAAAGTGAGACGGCGCGAGGCATGGGCGGCTGCCGCGCGGCGAGCCGCACCTTGTGGTTCTTCTGCTTGAGGTAGGAAACGTCGAGAAGCTTGGCCGCCGCCTTGACGGCGCGCTCGCGGGCCTCGCCCGTCAGGCCGTGGCGGATCTCGACGTGCTTCTCCAGCCGGCCGAGGAAACCCGCCATTTTCTTGATCTCCGCGGGCTCCATTCCCGCCTCCTCGGCGCTCTCGGGCGACATGACCAAACGCACGAGTTGCCGCAGGTCGGGGCGCGTTGCACCGGGGCGCGTTGGAAGAGACGAAGGAACGCGGCCGACGCCGAGATCCTCGCGGTGAGAAGGCTCGATTGGGAGAGAGCGCTGCATGGTATAGCACTGGTTTTCTGCACTTCCCGCCGTGAAGCGCTGTCCGGGTAAAAAGAATTGGAAGGCTAAGGCAGCGGCTTTCGACGCCAAAAACTGTATCCACCCTATATTCTTCTCTCTCGTTCCTCTGCCCGTGCCTTGGTCTTGTCGTTGTTTCGCATCCATGTCTGTATGGCCATCGAGGCTGCCTTCCCCACTACCTGTAGTTCACTCGTCACCTCTCCCGCTAGCTCCCCTCTCTTTCTTTCGGGTATGGAGTCCGTGAGTGCGGGCAGCGTGCAGGCAATCACGGGCGCTATTTTGTCGTACTCCTCTTCGGCGAGAACATAAATAAATAGAGCAGTCATCTCCCGTAGAGATGGGCAACGCACGAACACAGAGGTACAGTGCGCACCCCGCCCCGCTCACAGGGCGTGCATCACACAGGAGACAGGTGGACTGTGTGACTCCTCGGGTGGGGACTCTTGACAGAGGTGTGCTAGTCACTATAGTCGGACGGTTCCGACATGTCCGGCGGGCAGTTCGGGCTCAAGTGAGGGCCGCGGTCGCGGTCGCGGCCAGCGCGCCGGGCCTGGCTAGGGCTGCCGGGAGTGATCTCGATCCACGCTCCGGAGCGCGCGTGGTGCTTGCTTGAGCAGCCGGGTGGTTGCCGCGGCCACCTCAAACGGCAGCTCGTCGAGCCACTCGGCAAAGGTGCCCTCCTCTTGCGCCGCAGCCAGGAATCGTTCGCCTAGGCCGTATGCGAGAACCTCGAGAGAGACATGCGTGTGTAACCCTGGTAGGTGGATTGTCCAAAATACGTCAGCCTCGCACGCCTAGAGCTAGGTCTGACACCCGACCGCCCCCCCCTCCCTAATATTAACCGGCGAGAGCACATTTTGGCCGGCTAATGTTAGGGAGGGGAGGCCAAAAAACGCAAAGAAAGAAAGAAAGAAAACAGACAACCCAAGGGAGGGATGGGAGGACGGCACGCCGCCACCACACAGGGATTTTAAGGAGAGGAGTGTGGTGCGCTAGCCGTCGCCCACCCTAGGCAAGAAAGAAAGAAAGAAAACAGACAACCCAAGGGAGGGATGGGAGGACGGCGCGCCGCCACCACACAGGGATTTTAAGGAGAGGTGTGTGGTGCGCTAGCCGTCGCCCACCCTAGGGAGTCTGCCTCTTCCTATCTCTCTTCGCAGTCTCTCGCCGATTCTCGCTGCAATCTTCATGCCACCTCGCGGTCGTCCCACTCTCGTCGTTCTCTCCCTTGTCATTTCCTCCTCTGTCGCGTCGTTCTCTTCTGCCTCGTCCTGTGACGCCGCCGCCTGCCGGTCCCTTGTTCTCGCGGCTTCTTTCGCCTTTCGGCGCAACTCCGTCCTCCTCGCGGCGTATCCTGGCCCCTCGAGTCTATCGAGCTCCCCTCGCGCAAGGACCACATTTCTGACTCCCACTCCGATCATTTGCCTCCAAGTCATGTTGTTGCTCAGGTCCACTCTCTCTTCGAACACTCGTGCCTCTACGGATGATGCCGGCGCTGGGGTCCCCTTCGGATGCATCGTGACATCTGACAACTGGATTTCCACTGGTTCGTCCTCCTCGGAGTCATCTTCCCCGTCCTCCTTCCGCTCGGCTCTCCGCTCGGTACGTTCGGCGTGGCTTACCCTCCATGCCGTGAACAGGCGCTTTATCCACCCTATATTCTTCTCTCGTTCCTCTGCCCGTGCCCTGGTCTTGTCGTTGTTTCGCACCCATGTCTGTATGGCAATCGAGGCTGCCTTCCCCACTACCTGTAGTTCACTCGTCACCTCTCCCGCGAGCTCCCTTCTCTTTCTTTCGGGTATGGAGTCCGTGAGTGCGGGTAGCGTGCAGGCAATCACGGGCGCTATTTTGTCGTACTCCTAGCAAAAACTGTGAATATTCACAGTTTTCGACTATACCGCCTAACCCCCTGATCAGATCGACGAACCCATGTACCCCGGTGGGAGCCCATGGGTACAAGATTAAGGCCTCGTGTCGAAATAGCCCCCCTATAAGGGCAGTAAAGCCGCCAGACTGCCAGACCCGTGCCGTAGCCACCGCACTACAGGCCACTTTAACGTTCAAACGGGTGGGCCTAGCGCACCAACCAGAGCCCCTCGGGGGTGCCTTTTGATGCCTTCTAGCCCCCTCGGGCGCAAGGGGTGCGCGGGTAAGGCCGCCTGCGCCCTGGTGTACATTCCCAGTTATAGCCCGGCGGGGGTGTGCAGCTACCTTAAGGGTTAAATTCTTCTTGCTCCAAGCATCTCCCCCGGTGTCTGCATCATGTCAAAGTCGAGCATCGAGCGCATCTCCACTGTCCGCCGTGCCGAGTCGTATCGCATACCTGGCCAGCGCCACCCAACAGTGAGCGCCGCCACCTTTGCGCTGCGAAGGACGGGTCGCGGCCGCGTCATGGACATCCTGCGCACCGACTCCGAGCTGCGCGATCGTGTCCTCGCAAAGTTCGCAGAGGAAGTGGCGTCCCTGGATGCCACCTCGCTCATTCGGCAGCGGGCGTTGGAGCGGGGGCGCCGGTTGCTGACAGGCAATTTGGACGAGCTTGAACGCGTGGCGAAAGACATGGCGGATGCAAGCAGCCACCGGGCGTTTTGCCGGTGCGCCGCACGATAGTGTCGACATGAGAGAGAAGGCAAAACATGTCCCCGGAGGCCTGTAGGGAGATGAAGGTGTCCTCGCACCCTGGTCGACCGTGCTGGGTGAACCTCGTCCTATGCCAGCTCGCTGGGTTTGAGGCCGTCTCTCTCCGGCGCGCTGACCCGGAGCCGCCCTCCGTGGCGTGTATCATCTGCCAGGGGGCTTACGTGCCCGAAGCAGCGGGCTCGGTCAGCTTCACGTTCCACTTGGATTGCGGAAATGGGCGCGTGGAACGCGCCATCTTGGGAGTGGCCACTCCCGACGGTCACCTTACAGAGCGATACCACATAGGTTGTGCACAGACTGTGCTACGACATTAAGAAGGCACCGGGCCGACGATTTGGCCACCTGCCCGTGGTGCTTGCAGCCGCTGCGGCAGGTGCGCACAGGCGTCTGGCCGGGGAGGGTGGGGGCGGAGGAGGCACCGGCGCCAAACAGTCATCGAAATCTATAGTCTTTCTGAGAGATTGAGAGGAGCGCTGGTAGTGTGATTTTACCTCACACCCGTGGTGTCTCACCGGACGGTACGCGCTGCGCACACTTTGTTGGGTGGCGTTGCGTCCGGCCGATGGAGGGTGGCGTCGGGAGAGGGATTTTTAGCAATGAGTCAAGGAATGAGCACTTAGAAAAAATAAAATATTGGCTTAGCTTCAAGCCCCCCTCCGAGACTAGGGACAGAACCACACCAGTATAGACCAGAGGGACTGCGCCTCGCCCGCTCGCTCTATATGAGATCCACGAGCGCCAGCATCTTCGGTCGCTCGAGCGCTCGACACCTTGCCCTCTTTATAGCGCGTGCGTGCTGCGCTTCGCGATCGCCACGCGCGAGACGGAGGTAGGCGCCGAGCTAGAAGGGAAGTGTACTCAGTGTGCACTAAAGCTCTCCATCATCGGACGATGTCGACGAGTTGGGTCGCTCTCGCGGTAGCCAGATGACCTCGCTAAGGCCGCTTTGCGGTCAGCATTGTCGTCGAGCGCGCCATCCTACGGAGAGGAAAATGCCGGCTCACTGGAGTGTGAAGCCTCGCTGTGGCCCGCGGCGGCGCTGCACCGTGCGAGCGTGCGGGACTTCAGAGCCCTCCGGAGGATCGTCAAGCGCCTTGCGCTTCGACATGGCTCCTGAGCAGAGACGCGGGCGCGAGTCTCGGCGCCGCGCTGGGCAACCTGGTGGGGCGAGGCAAGGTGCACTCTTACCGTCTAGACTGACGGCAGGAGTTGCAGAGGAGGAGGAGGGCAGCCGAGGCCGGTGGCTGCAGAAAGGAGGCCACAGGCGACAGTCCGACAGCCTCGGTGCGAGCTCGCGGTGATGATCTAGTTTTTTCTTTCTTTTTGCAGATGTAGGTTTCAAAATAACCCTTCCCGACTGACTGACGGGACGGCGAACTGTTTTCTCGCTACAGGGTAGGTAGCGGTACGGGGCGCCGGAGAGCCTAGCGGTATCGGTACGGCGCCCTCGGTGTGAAGCGGTACGCGGTACGGCCAGTTCCCTATACCGCGCCCGAGGGGCCTATTTCACATGCCGCGACTCTCCTTCCTGGCCTGGCTCTGCCTCGTCGATGCGCAGGACGACTCCTCGCTCGCTCTCGCTCCTCTCATGGACGGAGCGCTCGCCGCGACGGCCATGCTCGTGACGGGAGGACAGCTCACGGCGGAGGAGGAGCTCGGTGCCGTCAGCATGATTCTGCAGGCCGAGCCAAAGTTCCTCATGCTTGCCAAGCACTTTGGCCAGGCGCCCTCCTACGCGACGCACCTGCGTGGTGCGCTTGGGCAGCGGCCCGCCGTCGAGCCAGCCACGCCCACCACTTGCACGACCCCGGCAGCGGCCGGCGACCCGCTCGTAGCAAGAAGGTCGGTCACTGCGTTCGCTGCGATCCCGGTGCCGGAGGCGGTGGTGCAGCGCGCACTCGAGGCGGCCATCCTCGCCCCGAATCACTTCCTGACCGAGCCGTGGCGCTTCTACCTCGCGGGCCCCGAGACACGTGCGAAGCTCTGTGCGCTGAATGAGGCCAAGCGCGAGGCGTTCGAGAAAGTGCCCGGCTGGCTGATCGTGTCGCTCGTGCCCTCGGAGCTCGCGCCGGACGGCAGCTTCAGCACCAAGAAGGGGCTCGAGGACCACGCCGCCACCGCGGCCGCGATACAGAACTTCATGGTCAGCCTGGCGGCCGCGGGCGTGGGCTCCAAGTGGATGACCGGCGCACTTGGCGTGCCGCCGGAGAAGGTGCTCGAGGCGGTGGGCGCCGACGTAGGCGCCGAGCGCTTCATGGCCGCAGTCTGGTTTGGCTACCCTGAAACGCCGCTCTCCGCCGACCCCTCCCGCGCGCCGAAGCGCAAGAAGGGGCTGGATGGCGTGCTCACGCGCACGGCGTAGAGCATGCCTGCGAGAGGCGAGAGAGAGAGAGAGTTAGAGAGAGAGCACCTTGAAGCGGACTGGAGCCGGAGACGACCCGACCGCGACCAGTGTCTAGTATTGGGGTACTGAAGGTTTAGGGCGAATGCCCCCCCAGTGGTTCGAATCGCGGGTTGCTGATTCGAGTCGCGGATTGCTGGTTCGATACCATACCTGACCGTACTGTCTCGTCCTAACCATCTACCAAAACCCATACCTCATACTCGTTCTACGCACAACATGCATGCACAACAGCAGCGGCCTTCACCGCCTCGGGCGGGGCGCCCAGCGCGCCCGTCATCCACTTTGAGCCGATGCCTGCTCACAGCGTACGCTGTGAAGAGACGCCGTCCACAAAGACGCCCGCCGTCCACGTCGAGCCGGTTCCGGCGGCGGCGAGGGAGAGCATGAAGTTCTGGACGGCGGCGGCGCAGGCGGCGTGGTCCTGCGTGATGAGGTTGGCCCAGATTAGGCGAGAGCCCCCGAGAGTCCGCGAGGCAGCGTGGTCTTGCGTCATGAGCACGCCAGCGTCGGGGGTGTGAAGGCGAGCTCGCGCGGTGTATTCGGAGCACCCGGACCGTGAACTCACAGCCGGATGCAGCTGCACGCAGCCTTGGTGTCCGTCTCTCGGGCAGACGACGATCTGTGCTCACATCTAGCGGCGGGTTCCTCGAGCCCCTTCTTCGTGTTGAAGCTGCCGTCGGGCGCGAGGTCCGACGCGACGAGCGTCACCACCAGCCAGCCCGGCACCTTCTCGAACGCGGCCTGCTTTGCGGCGTTGAGGGCCGACAGCCTGGCACGCGCCTCGGGGCCCGCAAGGTAAAAGCGCCACGGCTCGGTCAGAAAGTGGTTGGGCGCGAGGACGGCCGCCTCGAGCGCGCGCTGCACCGCCTCGGCCGGCACCGGCCCCGGCCTGTAAGCGACTACCGACCGCCGCGCAAAGAGCATGTCGTCGGCGGGCGGAGGCGGCGACGGAGGCGGCAGAGGCGGCGGAGGCGCCGCAGGCGCGCCGGCGGGCGGCGGCCGTGCCTGCAGGGCGGCGCGCAGGTGCGTCTCCAGCGAAGGCAGCGCCGCAAAGTTCTTGGCGAGAAGCAGGAGCGGCGCGTCACCGCCAAGCGCACGCTCTACGGCCAGCGCCTCCTCGTCGGGCGTCAGGCGGCCCGCCTGGCCGAGCGCGGCGACCTGCGCGAGGCCGACGTCGAGGAGCGACGGATCGACCGCCTGCGCGGCGGCAGCGAAGAGGAAGGGAAGCGGCATATGCATACACACACATACTAGTACACGGCCGGCGTGGAATATCCGACGGGGGACAAAAAGAATTCAATTCATCGTCCTGCGACACCATACCGCGTTGGTGTCCCAGTCGTTGGTCGGACTGTGTTTCGCCTTCCCATCAATCAATCAATTCGGCTACCCACTGCCTAACCTAACCGACTGCAATCCAAGTGCTCCGAGTGCTCCAATCAATTCTGCTCGTGCAGGTGGTGTCAACTCAAAAAAACTCACTCACTCACTCGTGTCCAGTCCGAGCCTGACTGTTCTTCACCTTCCTATACCTAACCTAACCTGCAGGTGGGGACCCTACTGGTACGGCACTCCTCGTCTGTCGCTGTCGTGCCCAGACTTTTGGCTCGAGAGAGTCTAAGTGTGAGTGAGGTTCTCACAGTGCGAGAGGTCCTCGTCGTCGCACGTCGGAGGTCCTCAGACACCGCGGTCGGCGACGGGGTCAAAACAACACATATCCTATGGTTGCGCGCAAGGGCAAGGTTTTTTGTTGGCGTGTATTGGAGGCTTGCGGTCAAGAGGGATTCCAGCAGATTTGAATCGTCCTCTCACTCTCACATGCGACATGGACTCCACATGCCATGTGTGCAGTGTGCAGAGGTCCTCAAACAGAGGTCCTCACAAACGGAGGTCCTCACCTGAGAGGTCCTCACATACACAGCACGCCCCTCTCGGCGCATAGAGAGCGACGTCTACGTCTCCAGGGCCTGTAAGCACCTTCAGGTATAGCCTCGTGTCGTGTGTGCTTACTTACGGCTGCCAGCCAGCGTGGCCATTATTTTGTGCGTCCTCCCCGGTCTGCACTGAAATTCGAAGACAAGTGGATGTAGTACTTACACACCAAAATTAACGGTTTATAGTGCATGAAGAGCATCCGTTCGTACTTTGGCGGTGCCTTATGCATGTAGTCCCTCATCTTTTTGGTCACCCGGCTGCTTTTTCGGAATTCCACCACCCTTGCCAGCGCGTCCTCCAACAGCACAAATAGAGCTGCCGCTCTCCTCCGCATCTTCTCTGTGACACTCCTCATGATTCTTATCGTCTTGTCCTCACCGCTCATAGCGAAGGCCCTGTCTGATGCTCTCTCCCATATCGTCCTGCATGTTTACCAGTAGCGACGTTCTCCGCCAACCTCCCCCTGGGAAACGAAAACTGGCATAGTGTGTGTAACACCGCCGCCAATGACTGCCTGCGACGCCACACTGACAGTGAGACGGAACTCACCAGTCCGATAAGGATCAACTGGAAAGCTGAACCCTGGGCTTAGGCAGAACGGGCGTGGCAGGCTCCAGGGGAGGCCACGCTCTACCCGGGGCGCTAAGGAGGGAAATCGAAACTGTTGGGCGTCCATCCTTCGACAAGGATACCCAATGATGACACGCCGCCAATCCCCCCTCCCCGAGGACCGAACCTTGGCACGTAGCGCACGGGTCATCTCGGAGAGAGAAAGGGGAGGGATGAGGGGGGCGATAAGGGAGCACCACACCGAGGGAGGACCCTAGAAGTGAGAGAGATCAGGGGAAGCCACCATGGGGGACAGGCACCAAGGCACTAACTTCATCACTCATTCGCCCCGCGCGATCTAGCAAGCCCTGGTCGATGGGTCTTAGGATCGGCGGCCAGCTTCCCACATACGGCAGGTTACGGGCTGGGGGGCGACCCGCGCCAAGGGGGAGAGAATGGAGGGGGGAGAATATGTGTCCATTTTTCTTCTAAAGCAATTCCTTTTGATCCTGGTCATTAGAGCTGCCAGGGATAGCGTCAGGAGCCGGTAGGACCAAGGAGTCAAAACCCCTCATAAGTCATATTTTTTGAGCAGACACATCGATCATCGTGTCCCATATAACTCGCACAACGAGCCGCCTCTCTCTGCGCGCTCGACTGCCTGTGGAGTTTTCTTTGTATTGCTAAAAACCTTGGAGCAAGAAAGAAAAGGCCGCAGCGGTAGTCCGCGCCGAGCCAGCCAGTATGGGCCCCTACGCTAATGGGGCGCGCCGGCGCGGCGGTCCGAGCGGTGTCAGCTCATGGCGTTCTATGGGCCCCTACGCTAATGGGGCGCGCCGGCGCGGCGGTCCGAGCGGTGTCAGCTCATGGCGTTCTATGGGCCCCGATGGGGCGCGCCGGCGCGGCGGTCCGAGCGGACAGCTCGATGGCGTTCTATGGGCCCCGATGGGGCGCGCCGCCGGCGTGGCGGTCCGAGCGGACAGCGGACTTGTGCTAACTCAGCCGAGCCGAGACGTGGCGCGCTGTGGACAGGTAAGTGGCGCTCATCGGGGGATGCATTGGGGCACCGGTGCCGACCGGTACGCGCGGAGGCGCGCCACCAGGTCTGCCTTGACGCCCGTGGTGACCAAGCCGAGGCGGCCGCACTCCTCCCTCAGCTCGGTGACGCGCATGGCCTTGAGCCGCGTCTCGGTGGTCGCCTGAGGGCGGGTCGGGGAAGCCTCGCCACACACAAACGTGGTGGTGGTGACGGTGGGTGTGTGTGTGTGTGTGTGGGGGGGGGGGGGGCTCCCATCTCCGGCGGCCGCCTTAGGCGCACCACCCATATCTCCCCCTATCTCCCCCTATCTCCCCCTATCTCCCCGTCTTTCGCCGTCTCTCGCCGTCTCCCGCCTGCACCACGCGCACCACCGCCTCCGCGCCCTTCTCGCCCTCGTAGAAGTAGACCCTGCCGGCAACCTCCCGGCGCACGCACCGCTCCGCCCCCAGCTCGCCCTCGTAGAACTGCACCTGCGGGGAAGGTTCCCAGACGCTTCGGAGAAGGAGTCCCTGGCGAGAGTGGCGTGGCTGGCTTGGGAGGGGGTGGGGGAGGGGGTGGGGGAGGGAGGGGGGGGGGGGAGAGGGCGCCCAGGGAGCGGAGAAGAGAGTGAGGGAGAGAGAGAGAGAGGTGGAGGCGGGATCACAGAACTGCAACAGGAGTCACGAGCACCCCAGGAGCACCCAAGTGGCACACAGGTATGTCGTCGATCCGCGCAGAGGACACCGCCCCCCCGTGCTCCCTAGTATGAGTGCGGTCATGCCCACGAGTCTCGGACGGCCTAGACAATGACCAGCTGCGGCTGGGCGTCAGAGTCGAAACCCGATCCTGCGTGGGGTCTCGTCTGTCGGCCTCGCCCCGGAGGGCGGCGGCGATCCTCCTTCTGCG